GAACAGTCTGATTTCTTCAATTTCCTCTGTGACCCATTGGTTATTCAGAAGTGTGTTGTTCAATTTCCATGTGTTTATGAAATTTTTGTGGTTTCTTTTGCCATTGATCTCCAATTTTATCACACTGTGGTCTGATAATATACAGGGGATAACTTCAATTCCTTTGCACTTACTTAAACATCTGTGAGCTGTGAGCGAATATGTGGTCTGTTTTGGAGAAGCACCCATGTGTAGCTGAAAAGAAAGTGTATTCTGATCTTTGGGGATGTAACACCATGTAAACATCTCTTCATTCGTTCAAGAATTTGACTGAGTTGTAATATTTCGTTCCTTATTTTTTGTCTAGTTGATCTATGTATTTGTGACAGTGGGGTATTGAGGTCCCCCACCACTATTGTATTAGTGCTTATTTGATTTTTCATGTCCGTTAGTATTTGTTTTATATAGTTGGGTGCACTACTTTTTGGTGCATATATGTTTATGATTGTCATCTCTTCCTCTTGGATTGTTCCCTTTATAAGGATGTAGTGTCCTTCTTTGTCTCTCTTTATCAGTGTTGGTTTGAAATCCACTTGATCTGCAAAGAGGATAGCTACTCCTGCTTTTTTTTGGGTTCCCATCCCATGAAGTATTGTTTTCCACCCTTAAACTTTCAGTCTATGAGTTTCTTTTTGAATTAAGTGTGTTTCTTGTATGCAGCATATTGTTGGATCTTGCTTCTTGACCCATTCTGCAAGGCTATTTCTTTTGATTGGTGAATCGAGACCGTTAACATTGATGGTTATAACTTATACGTGTTTACTTATCATTGTCATGACTTTTGTTTCTGTTGGATTCTCCCGTTTTGCGTTTAATTTCTTATCATGCCCAATGGATTCATTCTGTTTTGCTTCCTGGGGTTGTGATCCTCATTATCTTTTCCTAGGATATTATCTAAAATTTTTTGGAGTGTTGGTTTGGTGTTTGTGAAGTTCCTAAGGTTCTCTTTGTCATGAAAGTACTTTATTTCTCCATCAGTTTTGAAAGATAGTTTTGCAGGGTACATCAGTCTGGGTTGGAGGCTGTTTTCCTTTAGGGCTTGGAATACATCACTCCAAGCTCTTCTTGCCTTGAGGGTTTGCATCGAGAAGTCTGCTGTGATTCTGATGGGCTTTCCTTTGTATGTGATTTGCTACTTTTCTCTCACTGCTTGTAGAACTTTGTTCTTCTCTTGGGTTGCTGGAATCTTGACAATTATATGCCTATGTGTAGATTTTTTTTTTGATCAAGGGTAGTTGGAGTCCTATATGCCTCACTTATCTGTATGTTCAGATCTTTTCCCCTGCTTGGAAGTTTGCCATCACTTCTGTAAATCGTTTTTTTGTGTCATCTGCACTCTCTCCTGTTTCTTCATTGACTCCAGTCAGTCTTATGTTACTCTTCTTTGCATCGTCTAGCAGCTGCTGGATTGATCTGTCATGGACCCCTTGTATTTTTAAGGAATTTTTGTTTTCCTGGTCACTAATTGCAATCTTATCTTCTATATCTGAAATTCTGTCCTCACATTGGCTCATTCTGCTGTGTAGACTTTCAATGGAGTTTTTAATCTCCTGGAAATCTATTTGCATCTGTTTTATGGATTCCATTTGTTTCCTATGTTGGGATTCCATCATGTTCCTTAGCTCCTCTATTTTTTTTATCTGTGTCTTCTCTAGATTTATTAATCATGTCTTGCAGTATGGGCACAATCTCTGCTGTTATCTGAGAAATTATTTCTGATTTCATTTTTTCCAGTTCCTCTTTTGTTGCCAGTTGGTTGAATTATCAGAATGTTTCATGTCCTTTCCCTTTGT